TTTATAAAAGAGTGGTAGTTGTGTTTTCTTTTGATGCTCCATCAAAAAGAAAGGAACTTGGATTAATGAGTGCAAGGTTTACTTCAAATACCAGAAAACGTACTCTTTTCCTTCTCCACCTCCATTACTTTTTTCTTCCACTCATCAAAGGTGGGGATATCTCCAGGGTCTTTGCCATTTACCACAGCAGATGGATCTGGGTCCTTGATATTGTTAGGATCCACTTTCTGGCCAAGGGAGAGAGAAAATCATGGAAGAAATGAGAAAAGGCCTATTGTTTTTAAATGAGCCTCATGTCTACATTTCACTTTTGTGAGTGAAGTTGCATTTTACACTAGGACAGTCACAACTGAGAATTCAAATGTAATGCTTTAAAAATATTAAGCTCTGAATCTTATAAGTCAAAATGTTACTCATCTGCAGCTTCATTGGTAGATCTGAAGTTCTACCATTACAATTTCATTTATAAAATAAGAAAACCGATTAACACACAAAAATAGAAACACTATTTTGCTGACAAGTCAAATTACATGTGTACCCATTTACAATGCTGTGCATTTAACTGAAGCAACATGAATGAAGTACTTCATTAAGTAACCCACCTGGGTTTTAAAACAACCTTCAAGAGCTAGTCCAGAGCCCTAACCACTCCTTTACTTTAGTGAACACCGGAGGACCGCATAGGAAAATAAGGTAATTCTCTCTCTTCAGCTAATGCTTCCTGAACCAATGCAGACCGTGGCTAAGAGAGCACAAACTGCATTAAATGTTAACATAGAAGGTCTCTGAAGCTGCTTGGACTGATCTTTAACTCTTGCCATTTAAAAACAGACACAAGAAAATGTAGCCCCATCATGAATAATGCGTGCAAGTAAATTCAGAAGATTCAATTTTATCCACACAAAACAAAGAAAACATTACGTGGTGCAAAACAACCAAGAGATGATGCATGCACACATTTCTTTGATGCCTTAATACTAAAAGCAGTTCTTACTTGGAGATTACTGTGCAAAGTCCACAATAATCGACTAATCTGCATCCTTTCACAAAGCTCAAAACAAGAACTATTTTCCTTGTCTCTCCTTCTTTCAGGGTTACAAGGAGATCAAAAGCCTCACGTTTTTCCAAAAAAGGGTTATGCATTGACACTGCAGCTCAAAAAGCACTAACAGAAAGCCAGATCTTGCCCATTTCATACATACATTTCATAAAAACCCTAAGCTTTTACACATGTTTTCAGATTGTTACAGAAGTTATTTTAATGGTCTACACAAATACGTGGAAAAAGCCTTTTAAGCATTATATTATTTTCTGTACTCTGGTTAACTGCCCTTTTCAGATTTTTGATCTAAAAACCTCACTGAGCCTTTCCTGAAAAGTAACTGGAAGCTCCATAGTGGCTCACCTCTCCCTTCTGCACATGAGATGTGTTCCCACCACTCTGGTCCAGCTCTGGCTTGTCCTTACCCACTGGCGTCAGAGGGGAGTCCAGGTCAGTTTTGGTCCCTTTCCCTCTTCCATGGGTACTGGAAATATTCTCTATGTGCTCCACGGCCAGACTGTAGGGAAGAACAGGATGGGGAGAGGAAGAGAAGTACATTGCTCTAGGTAAGCTGTTTGCACGAAAAACAAAAGAAGGCATTCTGCTCTGAACCTAGTCAACATTTTCTCTTTTGGCGAAGACGACAGCAAAATAGGCAAGGCAAGTGGAGTGTTGCTCAGCATAGCAAAGACGTTGTTGTTACCTTGGTCCCTGTGGATTTTGGTCATTGTGGCTCACAAGCCAACTTCAGTACTCACCTGTCAAGCGATCTGTCAAAAGGAGGGGACTCGCTGGGAGGGGACGCCACAGGAGTCCCTCCAGCCTCACAGTCAGCAGCTGACTGCTCAGCATCATAAGAGCTGCCTACATGGGTATCAGCACTGGGAACCTCTATTGCACTGAGGGAAAGAAATGATAATATGCTGTTTACCTTGGTGACCTTGCTGGACAGGAAGATAGAGGAAGGAGAAAGGTAAGGGGACTCATGTGCAGATGGGTCACCTTAATGGTAAAAAAATATAAGTTTTGGGCCATTCTAGGATGAACTGTACTTCTCAAATAATTTTTCTGAGTGAGGAAGAGTTTTCAGAATAGAGGCTGAATTCAATAAGGTAATGCTTAAAAAAAGGGTATAAATTCTGAGTGGCATAATAAGTCATACAGAGAAAGACTGATGACTTTCTCCAAGTGGGATTTCTGTTGGTGTCTGCACATTTAATGAAGGGGACATTCCAAAACAGGAGACCTGGGCAGATATCCTGGAGACCACTGCATCCCAGCAGCGACAGAAAATGAACACCAGTCTGTGGAGGGTGGTTTAGCAGTATTAAAAGATCTCAGAAATGTCATCAATATTATTTCACATAATGAAATAATCTACATTCAAAAAGTGCCCTACTGTCATTGCCATTTTAAAATGAAGTAATTTGAGCTAAAACTGTCTGACCAATCTTAAACATCAAACCTAAGAAACAATGCCCACAGATTCAGGAGTGCTAAAATTCGATAATGGTACTTCTTACCATAAAATTCAAACATAACACTGTTTGAAATTAAGTTTTGAAAGTAGATTATACTGTATTGATTTCTGCTCTTGCAATAGCTAATCTACTTTGTAACCATGGGTTCATTTTGACAGGCTGTACATTTTCATGATGCAGTCACAGGACTCTGAATAACTTAACCAGAAGGTGAAATTCCTTTTAAAAAATTGTATTCTCTTTACTCCTCTTCTACACTTATATTTGTAGTGCTCAAAATACTGCAAGATTAAATTGTTATAAAACACCAAATCTTTTAATCTGAGGTCACTGATTTGATTATTCTAATTTGTTAAACTATCCAAACGCAACTTCTTATGAAACATGTTCTTCACCCTTAAAAAACGAATGCAGCCTTAGTGCACTCCCCTTTTGAAAGGTTTAAAAGGCATCTCTCCTGTTGTAACCAAATTCCCCAATTTAAAACAGCTTTATGTTTGCCATTAATCCACACATACAAAATACAGGAAATCCACGGTTACCAATTTAAAAAGATTTTCCAAAACTCCAGTCAAAGATAGAAGGCAAATGTCAAAGTTGCTTTAAACAATACAAAAGCTTTAAATTGTGAATATTTATATATATATTATTTTATGTACATTAAAAAGAGTATCAAGCCTATATTTTATTGTATTAACTATATATTTTAGACATCTTAATGTTTATACATGTATTTAAAATGGGGTGTCAAGTATTGTGACATTTGATTAAAAAGATGTGACAACCCCGTATTCATTGATAATTATCTACGGCAAGACCTTTATGTTATCATTTAAGATTTGCTGCAACAGCAATTCTCTCATCTGTATCCACATTTTAAGACCAAAGGTTTGATCTCAGATTCTGGTCACAGATCACCTGGCTCCTGTGCTGAAAACAAGAAAATGCATTCTATATTCCAACATTAAAACTGTGTCCAAATAGCTCTACTATTGCACCCAGGTCCCAGTCTCTCAACTTTCAGATTTAATCTATCATTATCACTTAGTTTACACTGAAGCTCGTCAAACCCACACATCATTCACTTCCTACAGGATATGTGAAAGATTCCTCCGGGCTAAACTATTACAAAAACATGAAATAGCTGCCTAACTGGTCTTGTGCGTAGTAGCAAGGAACGGGAGCTCTCACCTTGACTGTGTTACAGGAGGGGTCTGTGAGGTAGGTGTGCTGGAGATGTTCTCAGTAGTAGCAGAAGCAGTGGAAGGGGTATCATCCAGGCTGAGAGAAGTCTCATGCTCTGGCACGGCCTCAGACACTGGCTCTGGCTCAGCTAACCCACTGGGTTCATCTGTTTTCACAGTCTGTCCAAAATATAAGCAGACAGTAGATTTATCATTGGCTTCTCCAGCATTTTTACCTTTTTCATACTTGGTAGTTTCAAAACTAAAATGATACAAACCAAATAGAACAAATGCCAACAACTGTCTCCAGTACCGTCAAAAAGTCTTGTTCACCATATTAATGTTGGTTTGGAATTATGGTATGAGATTTAGATAAAATAATATCTTCAATTACAGCTTTGCCAACAATTTGATTTTTTGGAACCTGAAAACCTGTGGTTTGAACTTTTGCTGCCTAGATCATTTGAACATTCTGCTCTCAAGCAACATTTCATTTAAATATTCTTTAAGAGCCTGTTCTGAAAAAAACACTCTGTCCCCTGTCAGTATACTGCACATGGTTGTCACCAATCTTATACTACTGCTGTGTAATCAGTAAAGGAATGCTATATACACATCTTTTAACATTTATTACAAATGAATGTATGTGAAGAAGACTAATATTTTTGTGCATATAGAAATTTAAGTATTTTTTTATTACAGTGCTCAAAACTAACAGTGGTTTAAGCAGCATGTTCTCTGACCAATTCTCTCTCAAACAGTAAAATGCTCATCTTTCCTTTCATAACATTGCAATATATCCCTTTGTGCAAAAAAACAGACAAAAGACTTCAATGTTCCAATAATGAATAAGGAAACTTTATACCTACCAATGTTCATTTGATAGGCTAGAAAATAGAATCTTGAACAATATGTTTGTCAATTTCAGCAGCTCCAAGCAGTGTAGAACACTAGACTAGCTGACTTTAAATGACAGAAGTTAAAATACTTAAAGCACAAATCACCCATACCTCTCAATGGGTAGCTACTATGTTCTGTACTACACATACTGTATTCAGGAGGAAAAAATTCTAAGGAGTTAGATACATTCTTTAACATTATAAAGGCTTAGTTGAAAGATTTTTAACCTGATCGTGTTCTTTTTCTTTGCCACAGTCCTCTCTTAATATTTCATCTTGAAAAGCTTTTTCAGCCTCCAGTCCATAATCGTAAGAGGACTGGATATTCAAGGACCATTTCTCTTCATCCTGCAGGTTAAAAAAAAAATGAAAAAAATTACCCACTTTTCTCATAAATAACAGATCTCCACACATTCCAGTGCCTACATTTTTCCTTGTTTTGCATTTTAATAGCTACTGTATCAAATCTTCAGCGACTTTCATAAATCTATATCTTAAACTTTGAAAAGAACAGGCTCATTGCTTTTAAGACATTTAGAAAAGCTTGCTTTGTCTATGTGCTACCACAAAACTTTCTAGAGTTTTCCCTGCTAGATCACCTAATTAAATACATAATATACCAATGAACACAATGAAAAGAAATTATTTAATTGTTAACAGTGAATTATATGGCAAATTATATTTCACTACAGTTATTTAATGACTTAATCCTTATGAAGATACATGTTATATATTGCACAGCTGCTACACTATAAAGCAGAGCATATATAATGCTTAAAGTCTTCTGCCTTTGATTAACTGCACTAATTCAGACATTTCTGAAGAAGGCCTCTATGTTATTAATGGAGGTAAGATAAAAGACTGAGCATTATATACTTCTGCTTTGAATATTAACTTGTATTAATAGATGCTTAAATATTTGCCATAATTTTGCAAATTTTGATATGCTTCATTTATCAAAATGTTTAATAAAATATGCATGTTACATACCTTTATCACAGGATAATAATGTGTTATTAGGTGACAAACCATTCAATTAAAACATCTGTATTTTAAAACATTACAACTATCTATTATTAATGGGGGGTGTAATGCAAGGAAGCACAGCATACATTAGAAAAGGCAAAATTAATGAAAAAGCTCAGACATAAGCTTGATCCTTGGACTGCATAGAAAACTAGACAGTTGTTAAATACTTATTATTGTGAAAGTAAATCCTTTATAGTGAACAGATCTAGAAATTAAAAATGATGCAGTAAAAGCTACCTTTCTGTCCGTTTTCTTTTCCTGCGTTGCCTGAGCACTGCTATCCTGTGCGAGCTGTGCTGGGCCTGTAGAGCTCTCTTCCAAACAACACACATGACGACTGGGGTACCTGCATAAGAGCACAGAGGCGTATTTGTAAGGCTCCTGCATTTCCGATTTTGTCAGAGAATTGCCACACAGACAAGCAAACAGAAGGTGCTAAAGATCAGTTTCTGAACACGTGTTTAAATAATCCACACCTCTCTTTAAAGGCTTTTAAGGTAACCCACTACCCACTTTCAACTGAAAGCACCAAACCCTGAAACCTACATTTGCAAGAACACAAACAGATTTGCTTTGGGAGTTACCTATTATCATTGTCAAACTAAGTTACATGTTTTTAAAAACTTTTAAATCAGATCTTAATACCAATTTAGCATTTTAAACCATAGTAAAATAAATGACCTCACATAAAGATGATGAGAAACCTTCTGTGGTTCAATCCTTTATCTAATCAGTAGGTTTAAAGTTTAAGTGATGTGGAGGTAGTTAGTGTAGCCAGGCTGCCTATACAGCTAAGCAATACTGGCCTAATATTCGCATGGATGTGTAATAAGCAACTCCAGTGTCAGAGCTGTCTCTCTCTCTTAGTCCCAACACAATGTTTTAAATAGCATCAGCGCCCAGAATGTTCCAATAAAAACTGCACAATGCCAGCTGCTTATTGAGCACTAAGATGGAAGGAGGACAACTGCTCATAGTTAAGCTGTGGGTGGAAAAAGCCACTTTCTGAAGGTGGCAACTTGAAGTCTTATAAAGAAACTGAAAAACTGACAATGCAGATATGATATCAGTAATAATGAAATTTCAAACTCCAAAAGAGGTTCAGTTTTTTAAGCAAACCTGTAGAAAAGGTTGATCTCCAAAGTACGCTGAATCACTCAGAGACAGTTTGTTTACAGGTTATACCACAAAACCACCATACAGATCAGACCATAAAGTACCAACATAAATCCAGACAAAGCCGCAGAGAATTACCTGAAGAGTTAAACAACTAAGAAGAGTCTAAGAGACTAACAAAACTAGCAGGGACTTGGAATGCTTTGTATTAATGTTTCTCTTGCACCTCAAGACAAAAACAAAGGCCCACACTTAATGAGTTGTGACAACATACATTGGTGTGTACTGGATATTAACCAATGCTCAATGAAAATGCAAGTCTGTTTTACATCAATATTATGTACACTTTAAACAGTGATCAAATAGCTTTGTTGACTGAACAGTTTAATTCTGAAACAACAGATTAAACATCAATTAGTGTCTTCAGAATAACAAGTAATAAGGTCATTAATTGTTCAATGATCACAAAAACAGCAAAAGATATGACCAGCCTGGCTTCAGACAATATCTCCCGAATCTTTGATTGCTATTGACACCATTGGAAGTGGTCGTCAATGAGAAGTTGGGAGGCGAATAAGACTCAACAACCATTGTCTGTTTCAAAAATCAGCAAACTACTCCAGAGAAACTCTGTGAGGGACATGCCACATCCAATAAGGACCTCTTACATCACACTTTGAAGTTTTCAGACTGCAGTGGCTACAGCACAAAAATTCAATATGAAAATGATTGGCTATTTAAGTTGCTGTTGACAGCTGACAAATGACATTGCTAACATTCTGTATTTGCACTTGTAAACCTCATCTAAGGTTCACAAACAAATGCAAGTATCACATTTGTTCTTCGCATGCAACCGGATGACATTCAAACTTGGGACCACAACATCCTAATCCTACCACATGTACAATCCCTGACAAGAACCTGACTGTGAGGAACAGCTGCAAATGCAATTCTCACCTACATGCAATAGGCACCAAGCACGCACATCTAGACCTTTCTACATTCCACCGGGTGTCAGGCTTTGATACAAAAATTGATCTTTCATAATGTGCCAGTTTCAACTCCAGTATCCATTAATGACTTACCTAAGAAATCCTTTGTATAAGATAGGAAGTACTCTGAGGGGGGAAATTTCAAATCCCTTGTAACGCCTTCGTTAAACCATTTTAATAAATCTTGCACATCTTAGCATAAAAGGATTATTATCCTCATCATAGAGGCATTTCACACCCTTGGTAAAAAAACTCCTTCTTTTAAAGAAAGCAATTCATCTGATCCAAGTTAAAAAGTCTGTAGGCCAGATCTCAAATTCTAAGTTGTTTTGCAAACCAAGCTGCCTGTTTACTATGGTGATTTCAACGTACTGTAGGATCTTGACAGGCCTTCCAGAGGTATGTGGTCTGTTATGCAAAGAGGCTAACTGAACCTCAAGATACTCTACATACAAAAGATGTGAAATACAAAAGTATTCTTTCCATTGTACTTTACTACAGTGTCCCTGCACCTGCCTGTAGTGTACAAATAGGGAAAAGAGCGTTATACAGAAAGGTTAAAGGCAACTGTAGAGGAAGCAGCTAAGAGATCCCATTTACAGAAAGTACAAATGGTCATTTTTAACAACATACGTCAATTAACTTGAATTGTATTTAAGGCATCCATTCCACTGGACTCCCAATTCAAATTCACAATTTTGGCAAACTGTATGCACCTACATATTGAGCCATTCAAGACCCCCAGCTGCTTTATCACAACCATGCTCGTTAGAAACACTGAATGCACCTTAAAGGGCTATGGCCCAGACATCACATTGTCAAGTCTGAGCTTTGTTGTTAGCTGACAAACATTCCCAAAATAATGGTTACAAAAACTGGCTGAGCATTACCATAGACTGAGTCATACAGAACATCCTCAGATTGCTGAGCTACCTGTGACCTGCCAGGTTGCAGTGTTATCAGCAGACAATAGATACATATTTCTGTGAACATGAAACAGGGGCCTAACAGAGCAGATCCAATTTCTAATTTCCTGCTTCACTACATCTCCCACTGCAGAATAACATATTTACAATTCCTAGTTCTCATCTTCCTCACAGAAATGCCAACAATATTTTTTGCAACTGCCTGAAGTGAAAATCCAGTGCTCTACTTCAGTAGAGCCAAGGGTTCCTGCAAAACTTTCCATTTTTTTTGTTAGTTTTAGGGTGACAGGGTTATGACTGTGCAGAGAGTCCAAGAATGAAAATAACACGCCATGATAAAGAATATACAACCAAGTTGTGAGAAGCCTGAAATTTCTAACATTACTAATAACAATCGCACATGAATGAATGCATTATGAACAAGTTACCCTTGTAAAAAACATATTTTGCATATCTTATATTCAGATTTGTAGATGGCCATGTTATTTTTCCCTAAAATTAAAAAGCAAGGTTTAACCTCTAACAGTAAGAAAATAACTCTCCAGGATTAGGCAGCATGCTGAAATATGTATAGTTTAAAATACCCGCTCACTAAAACAAAAGGTAGAGAACAGAGCCTTTTAGTAATTAAAGACAACTGGTAACCCACAGTATACTAAATTACTAAGGTATACTAAATTACACAAAGGACTGTGCATGTATTGGGGTATGGCTTCTCTCTAAAGTAATAGATATTAGAGAAAATGGGTATCAAAGCCACTGTCAGACATCTAAAACATCCTGTAAAGACCAATGTTTTTATAGAGATGCTCTTAAAATTATACAGTTTCTAAGACTTACATGCAAGTGCATGTAGTTATATGTGAAGTAAAAACTTTAATATCATTACCGCTGATTTTAATTAAATGAACTGAATACATTGATTGACAAAAAAAAGTTAAATGGGATTAAAGGTTCCCATCCAGCTTTTATAGGTCCAGTGCAGCTCAGTGTAAACAACCTCAACTTTTTATAGAATATCAGCAAGAATACCAAGCTTAAAAAAACAGTGAACAGTATGTCATCTCTATTTAGACTCACAATATAGACCTTAACATCACCGGCAAATTCATGATGAAAAATAGGGAGGTTTTTTCTGGCATGACCAGACACTGAAGCCATAAGACATAGTTCCACGTGGCCAGGGGCTGTGTCATCCAGACAGACAGAGAAGCCCAGTAAGTGGGACAGTGGCAGCACGAGGGCAGTGGCTCAGACAAACACATTCCGACACTTGTTTGGGTCAGGAACACAGCAGCCTTATCCGTCAGCATTCTGCGTGCAAAAAAGAAGTAAAGCCAGCTCATCCCAGCTAATCCCTCTACTTCCATGGACTCTGGGGATAGATAACGATGGCAAGGGGTTCTGCTGTAACCCAATTTCAAACTCAGTGGGTGGGTGTATCAACAGATGGCAATTCTATCTTTTTTAAATGTATATAATGAACAATAAATATTTGTATTGCTTCAGCAGACTTATATTTTGTGGGTCTGACTCTAACCATAGACAAAAACACCATCAAACTCAGACATGGCACAATAAATCATTCAAAAGTAAAAGTTATTACTAAACTCTCCCTGTGTTATTATTTTGCAAAATTAAAACATAGATGACTATGCTTTGAAAACTGACTTCTAGAAAAAGCTTCCAAAAAGGCTCTCTACTAAGGCTTACATGGTAAAAATCAATAATATTCTTTGACCTAAAAAATGGGTCACACTGGCAGTGTAGGTATTACATTTAAGAGCACTTAACAGAAGAAACAAATATGTTAAAGCAGGTCTTCAGCCTGGCTCTTAGAAAGCTTGCAAACTATATATTTTATTTACTGAAGGTAACCAAAAAATAATCAATATGCAAATAAAAATATGATCCACCAAGCAGGTGATTTGTTAAGGATTTTTAGGGATCATCTGGATCAAAAACCTAGACAGACTTAATTCCCTAAATCAAATGATCTGATTAATTGATCTGTGACCTCAAGGTATTGCCAATCTTTAGATGGAGGTGTTTTTTGACTAACTGGATTGGGGCTCTCATTTCACAAGATCTGAAAGCCACTCTTTTTTACATAATATCCTTGACAGTTCTAACACCTCTGCAAAAGATAATGTAGAATTAATATTGAATTGTTACTTATGTCCGTTGTCGTTACTCGATTTCACCTCGTTCAGATCTTGGCTTGTAGCTACAAACCCTGCAACCGTATGGGGAGAATGAAAAGTGAAAGCAGACTCCTGTGACCCACCTGAAGCTATTTATCTTTTATGTCA